GCAGTTGAGATGGTTGCATTGGTTGGATGTTATGTACTTGTGGTGGCAATGATATGTCTTGGTGTAGTAGGGGTGGTGGTATTTGCAGTCTGTTGATCGGTGAGAGTGGAGTATGTGAGGTATGGTGTGGGAGCAAAGTGGCGGGTGTTGGGTGGTTTTGGGGTAGTGAAGGTCTGTTGGTATGGTGTGTGGTGACGTGCAGACGTGAGTGGAGCCATTGGTGAGTGTGGGTGTTGTGAGGGGAGTTGGTAGGAGTTAGCTCTTGATTGTTGGGTGTGCTGGGGGTTTGTTGTTGTTGTTGTTGTTGTTGTCATCGTCGTTGAAGGCGGTGAGAGGTAGAGGAGGTGGATGGTGTTAATTGGGTGAGGGGTTTCTGCGTTGAGTGAGGTGGTGGATGTGAGTGAAGGTAATGGGTGAGTTGTGCATTTGGTGGTTGGTGTGGATTGAGTGGGGTGGAAGAGGGATGGAGGGAGGGAGGGAGGGAGGGTGAGGGGTGAGAGGTGGGAGGGGATGCGATGAGGCGGCGGTTGTGGGGATGTGTAGAGGTGAACGTTGTTTTGTTGTGTGTGTTAGTATGCGAGTACCTCCTCTGATCTCGACACCGGAGGCTTTGAGGACGGAGCTGGACTTATTGAAGGCGTTGGAGGACATTGAGGCGGCTTTTAGCATTATTAAGAAGGAGACGAAGACGTCGAATGTCCATCCGGCGGATAGGAATTACGTTAACCTGAATTGCAAGATCAGACCGGTGGCTGTTGGAGACAAAATGGATAAGGTTTGTCGCTTTGCACGTTCTTATATGTTTCCGGATCTTTTTAAATAGCTTTTGATCTTTAACTTCGTTTGTAAGTAACTTCTTTTTCATTGGTCATTTTGCAAATGGTCGGAATTGTCGTTTTCTTGATTTTGGAGTATTTTTTTTGGTTTAAATTTAATATTAATTATTCTGTTTGTCATCTCTATTCTTTACTTCATTGTATGGTTGCAACTATATGTCTTGTCGCCACTCAGCTTTTTTTTTCGTTTCCATTGCAGATAATTAGAAACTACGTCCAATTGACTCACGATCCAAAATACTCTTATGACAAGTTTGAAATATCTCAGATTTTTGAGTTGGAGAAGAGCGGAGAGGTGGAATCATTTTGCGATTACGGCACGAGGTGTGAATTGCTTTCCTTATTTTTAAAATCTGCCTTCTTTGGATATTGGGGAGATGAAGCGTTGGGAATGTACCTAACGTCGCTTACTTTTCAACTTTGGCAAGTTAAATACTCTTTTGTTGTAGGCGTCTCCTTTTTCACGGTAGTCGCTTGACTAACTGGATGGGAATTCTAGGTCGTGGCCTGAAGATAGCCCCTCCTGAGGCACCTTGCACGGGCTACTCGTTTGGCAAGGGTGTCTACTTTGCAGACTGCATCTCCGTGTCGTCCGCTTTCGCTCATCCCTTCGGCCATAATACTGCTGGCTTCGTAGCCCTCTGCGAGGTAGGTTTAGGTTACTTTCAATCCGCAGCTTGTGTCGTGTTTTGGTTACTTGTCAGGTCTATTCGAGTTCGCATCGTCACATCCGTGTATCATTTAAATCTTCTCGGCTAAATGCACCTGTTTCACTTCTACACTTGGCAGCTGCGAATGTGTCTTACAGCAAGTATCCACCAAGCTCTAATTCTGGTTTCTGTAATTAGTGAGTGCCAGTGTGAGTTAGCTCAATGACTCGGCTTTTTTGGTGGAAGTTGATTGAACTTCGCATTGTATTTCTTTACAAAACGCTTTTTGTTGTGACACCATGGGGTTGAATCGTGGGCGAAAATGCAAGTTTTTGTACTTTAATATCTTTTTATTCGAATGCATACTTTAGCCTCATTGTTATTTCATAATTATTCCATGGCTTCTCATCCTAAACTTAAGCTATGTTTGCTGGAGGGGAATAGTGGCTACTTTCTCATAAATAGGTTAGAAAAATTGACAACCTTTCCTCGTTTGTTACAGACAACAGGGAGTGTAATGTATAGACGTGCAAAGTGCAAAGTGTCGTGTTGAAGCACGATGGTGATTGAATCCTGGCTTGTTTGACTTATGGTAAAAGTAGTTTGGTTTGGGGAATTGAGGCATTGTTTTGTCAGCAAGTTTAAAGTGCATTTGTGAATCCACTTTCAGGTTTCCCTCGGTGAAATGAACCCTCTTATGCATATAGACTTTAACGCCAACCGATTACCAGATGGAAAGCACAGCGTTCTGGCCGTTGGTCGCAGTATGCCTGATCCTTCCACTTGGATTACTTTGTAAGCTTCTCGTTTGGGACGATGTGCAGATTTTTTTGTAATTCGAAAGTAGCGAATGTGCGTCTGCGTTTTTCCTAGGCGTAACCGTTCGCAGACGTGTTTTTAATTTCATCGTGGCCGAAGAAAGGCGAGATTATTAACTCATCTACCTGTTGCTTTGATTGTCTAATTTTAAAGTATTTTTTCTTTATCGTAGAGATGATGGTGTGGTGGTGCCGTGCGGAAAACTCATTATGTCAGGGGTGGAAAAACCTCCAGTTCCATACAATGAGTTCGTTGTTTTTGACGTACGGCAAATACGTCTTCGCTACCTGATGCAACTGGAGTTCAAGAGAACGTACTAGGCCGTCCCATCTTCCTCCTCCGGTGTCTTCACACTATCCTGTGTTCACATTTGACTTCGCTACTACTGATGTTAGCAACTATGACATCAACGTTTTCTTTGCTGTCATTTCACATTTTTGTTCATTTACATGATTGAGTTGGAATCGCCCATTTTGGCTGTGAGAGATGATGCTCCGATGTGGCAAGAACCCAAAATAAAGGCTACTAGTAAGGCGAAATTGGTGGTTTTGGTGGAGTGTTTATTGTCTTTGTTGGCAAGGAAAAATCATGATGCGAATATTTAGCTACTGCAGACTCTGGTTTGAGGAGTCATCGGTTCCATGAGGTGACAAAGTTATTCTCGCTTTTAAGCTTCGAATATGACGCCCTGTTCAAACAAGTTGAGCAGCAAAATATGTGACGATAACGACGAACTCATTGTTCTAGAAGCATTTTTATGACTGAGTTGAGTCGTAAATGAATATCTCGTTGTTCACTGTATGTTGCTTGAAGATTGTATGGCGAGTGTCACAAGACGCCAATGGCGAGATGGAAGAATGCATTGCTATGGTTACAGATTGTGAATGGACAGCAGAAAACCTCCACCGACGTACTGCCGACTGCAGCATTTATAATGTTTGCCTTGGGCACCATCCGATCTGCAAACGTTATCAGTGGTTGCAGTGTTTCCAGTTAGGATGATTTTCACAGTAATCACCGGTGGCACTAATTCCAGTGCGCTAATTAACGCTGTTGCATGGTTCCCTCCTCACTCTCTGCCTCCTCCTCGTACTCAATGATGCCCATCTCTATGCCCTGGCGGCGACGCAACCACACAGCATGACACACACCCGAGGGTATCGGCACCACAAATTGCGCCCAGGCAAACACGGGCTGTGCTCCACAAAGCTACTCCAACTCCCTACTTCCCCGGGGAACGACAATGCGCCTCAAACGCTTTTCTCAGTAGGCTGAACACGTTGGTACCAG